CACCCTAGAGGAGCATTCCCATTGGCCCTTGTCCTGAGGCAGGGGATAGAACCATGAGCCTTGAGTTAGGAGGACTTAAATTTGAATATGACAACAGATACTTTACTAGCTCTGTGACCCTGGGCAAATCACTTAACCTCTATCTGCTGCAGTTTTCTTCACTGTAAAATGGGTATAATAATAACACCAACCTCCCCAGGTTGTTGTGAGGATCAAATGAGATAACATTTCTAAAGCACTCAGCACAGTGCCTGGCACATAGTAGGTACTTAAATATTTATTTCCTTCCTACCTGAGAGGAAGGGAAAGATCAGTGGAAATACTTCCTGAAGGTATGTATGTATACACCCAGTCCACAGTCTACACACATGTTTGATCAGACATGAGAAGATGAGAAAGTGGGTGAATGATTCTGATATTTTAATGAATCTATTCAGAAGTGTTGGTATTTCCTCTAATGGCATAAATTGCAACCCATCTATACCTTCTCATCCTGTGTAACTCCTCACACAGATGTCCTCTGGGACATTCTCCACAGGCAGTCCAATGTGCTAAGGGCCTTCCTCTGGACCTCCCAATGTTATTCAAATACCATACGGAGCATACAAACTGGCTATTGATTATCCCCAGCTCTGGCTGCGTCACTAGCCTACTGCTTTTTCTGGTCATAGATATTTCTGATGATAACCTTCATGCCTCTTCCTCCTACTCTGTTCTTGGTTGCCAACCTGCCTCTGCCTACTCACACCCACCAGGCACATTTCCATTACTTTCTAGGCTAATTATATAAAAGTCAAATAAGATCAGCCATCATTTTATTTTTTCCTTTACTCTTTAATTTTTTTTTAAAAAAGTTCTGAACTTAAACAGCAGAGCACAAAAATATTCTCTCTGAAATTGTGAATTTCCATTCTCTCCCATATACAAGAAATTCTCCATTTTACTTTCGAAACTATCCTGCGTGTCTGTGCTTCCTTCTGAAGTTCCTTCTGTACATTTAGAAAATGTTTCAATGGTCCTTTCATTTTTCCCATTCCTGTTGCTAACCTTCCCTGTTCCAATCCCTCCTCCTACCCTTCAAACTGAAAACAACTAGAGAAAGAAAGGGGAAAACACCTTGTAACAAATGAGCATAGTTAAGCAAAAGGTATATATGTAGTGGCCATGTCTAAAAATGTTTGTTACTTTTTGTACCTTGTGTCCATGTCCTCTCTAAGTAACATGCTTCATCATAGGTCTTTTAGAGATATGGTTAATCATTGCCTTGATCAGAGTTCTTAAGTATTTCTAAGTCAGGCTTTGTTTTTTTTCTTTCAGCATTGGGATCACAACTGTCATTGATGGGTGGAGAAGTCAAAGAGCCCCAGGAACAGCTGTGGCTTCTAGACCACCAATCCTGCTTCCAGCGTGGCCCCCAAAAGCCATTATTCAGGGTAGTAGCCCTTACAAAGAATGAGCAGCCATCTTCATCATTACCAACAACAAATGATCAACTATCATAGGCAGGCAGGTAAGATGAAGATCTCTGGGAATGGTAGCACCCCTAGGTCATCTGCTTCCATCCTGGTCCCCATAGCCATCATCAAGCAAGGCAACTCCGATGGCCATTTTCACCACCGCCACCATTCCTACCAACTTCTAGCCAACAGTTACCACTAGGGCTGGCGAGTCAGCCTAGCTGAAGCAAACAGGCACCTGAAAAGAGAAACAGTTAGGTGGTATGTGCCAGGTGGATTAAACCACTGCAAACACCTCACTTCAGATCCTGAAGGAGATAGCCCAGGTCCTTGAGCCCAAGAGCCCCTGACCACCAGCCCTGCTTCTAGCCTGACACTTCTGGCCATCATCCAGGGGAGCAATCCTTGTGGAGATGAGACCTGGAAACTGCCCGAGTCTGAGGTAAGCTTTGAATTCAGGTCTTCCTGATTCTAAGACCAGCACTCACTGCGATACCTAGCTGCCTCTGTTATTAGCTATATTAATTATGTTAGAATTATAATACAATTATAGCATATATAATTTTATATTAGATATAGCTAATTCAAAATTAATTCCATTTCCTTATATATTGTATTAATTAAGTACTTATTGTGTGTGAAGCAGTATATTAAGCACTGCCTATTTTACTTTTCTATTTGTATCCCCAGCATTTAGTTTTATATAAAATATAATTCTATTATATTTATATTATTATATGTTTATTTATATTTATATATACAATATAAGTATATTATAATTAATATAAGGAATAACAGAAGCAGCTAGGTGTCACAGTGGATAGAGCACTAGGCCTGGAGTCAGGAAGATCTGAATTCAAATCCAACCTCAGAATCTTACTAGCTGTGTGACTCTGGGTAAGTCAGTCAACTTCTATTTGCCTCTCTTAGAATTCCTGGTTCCTCGACTGTAAAATGAAGATAATAATAGCACCTACCTTGCAGGCTTGTTGTGAGGATCAAGTGAGATAATATTTGTAAAAGCACTTAGCACAGAGCCTGGCACATAGTAGGTGCTGTATAACCCTTCCCTTCCTTCCCCTTCCCTTCCCAATAAATGGTTTGTCATTCATTCAAAACTGGCTTATGTGATTTTTCATGATTAAACCGAACAGTCTGTAGGTGATTTGTTTCTGGCTAGAAAGTATTTGATGGTAGCTAACCTTCCAAATGGAAATTATACACAGGAAGAATGAAGTCACCTGGGCACAGGTCTGTCATTGCAACTTTTAAAGAATCCAGTTGACTTCTGTTTTTCCAGATGTGGTCAGTTTGCAACACAGTACAAACAAAAAAATGACTGGTGTCAATGAATCAGTAAGCATTTATTAAGCCACTGCTGGGTGCCAGGTACTGTGTGAGGTGTTGGAGATGCAAAGGCAGAAGGGAAACAGTCCCTTTCTTCCCCTCTAACCATAAAGACAAGAGAAGGGAGAAAGGAAAGGGAATAAGTATTTATGTAGCTCCTACTATGTGCCAGGAACTGTGCTAAGGAAGCACTTCACAAATATTATATCAGACATGAATCTGTTAGAATGTAAACTCCATGAGAGCAGGACCTATGTACTCTACTGGTGTCCGTATAATGTCAAGAGAAGTTTAGTAAAGCCCCAGAACCATTTGATTGATTCCCTCTGGTGAACTTTTGGGAGACCTTGGGCAGGAGTGGCACAGGATGGGCAGGCATGGATGGGCTGAAGTTGATGTCATCGGAGAAAGTGCCAATACTGATGTCATTCCAGATCCATTTGCATAGAAGACATACAGAATGTAAAAGCTGGAAGGGATCTTCCAGCTTAGCTCCCTTTTTTTCATAAGGAAGGACATTAAGGCTCCTAAGAGAGGTGCATCAAGGTCAGAGCCTAAAAGAATAAGTTGGCTGAGGCATCAGAGCATTGGGCTTCATCAAACTAGAGCATGCTGCAGTTTTATTCTGATGCCAAGTGGTCAGCTCAGAGTTCAGATAATACTGGTCGATATCATTATGCCACAGTCCAAAGGGCTGTCAAAACTGGGTCTGACGAATGAATCACTGGGTGGGGCTTAGAAATCTTGCTGATAGTAACTAGTATTTTTAGAGATTTTGAATGATTGCCAACTACTTTCTATATACTGTATCATTTGAGCCTCATGACAAGCCCAGGAGTTAGGGACCGCAGGCATTATCTCCATTTTACAGAGGAGGAAACTGAGACTCAGAATGTGAAAAAAAATTGCTTACAGTCACATATAGGTGTCAGGATTTGAATTTAGTTCCTGAATCCAGCACCCCATCCACTATACTCCATTGCCTTTCCATGTTGCAAAATAAAGAATTCTGACTGGTATCCCGTTCCTTACCTAGAGTCAAGCCATTAGTTTGGCTAAACATGTCTTCCACATACGTCTCACATACCAGCCCTTTTCAGCCATCTCCGTATGATTCTAGACAAAATAGAAGAGGAAGCCTTTGAGGAAAAAAAAACCTAACATTTAATTTTTTTTAAAAATCTGATTTTAATTGATATATTTAGTTCTTACATCACCTTTACATGCACAATAGTAGATGCTTAATAAAGGCTTCTTGTCCTTGGACCTTCATTTTCAGAAGAGGGGCACTATTTCCCATGCTGTGACCTTCAATAGGTAGGTCATTTTAATGCACAATTGAATGGGTCTGTTTCTATTGTAGTGACCATAGACGTACCTAAGCATTCTTGCATCTTGAGTTCTAGGTAGGATGCCTCTTTCCTCATTTTAGAACCAAGGCTTGCTTATTCCTTTTCCTCCCTTTTTTTAAAAAAAAACAAACAATAATTTTCAGTTTAATTGATAAAAAAGACTTACAACACCATTTGCACGAATGCAAAATAAGCCATCTACAGCAAGTGATAAGGTAACTGGGCAAAAGGGGGGAGACATACATTAAAAAAAGATTCCCTCAAAAAAAGGGAATGAACATTTATATAGTGCCTACTATGTGCCAGGCACTGTGCTAAGTGCTTTTACAAATATTTTCATTTGATGTTCACAGCAACCCTGTGAGGTACGTGCTGATATTATTCCCATTTTACAGCTGAGGAAACCAAGGCAAAATGACTTGGCCAGGGTCATACAGCTAGTAAGAGTCTGAGGTTGGATTTGAATTCAGGTCTTCTTGACTCCAGGCCCAGTGCTCTATACTGCACCGTTGGCTGCCTCTAAATTAAAATTTTTTTTAAATTAAATTAAAAATCAAACCATTATTATAAAGGACCCTATCAAAAGTTGCTATATTTGCCCCTCCCCCATTTGCTGTAACTCAGCAAGGGCATCTAGTATTTTGTGTTCCTGTCAAATGTCAGGCTAGAGCATCCTAAGGTAAAGTCAAAAGACCCCAGAACAAACAAACTAAAAATAAGAGGACCCCACCCTTTACCCAACCTCCCCCAAATGGTAAAACAGCACCTCCAGAGTCCGTATTTGAAAGAAGAGAAAGTAGCATTTGGAAATGGCGATGGTGATGCTAATCCTATGAATGGTTCCATTTCTCTCCTGAGGGGAGTTGGGAAGGATGAAAAATGAGCCATAGACCAGGAACACTGCCAAGAAAAAACCAGAGTTCTGTCATCACCGTGCATTTGCTCCTGAAAAGAAGAAGCTAGATCTGGAGAGAGAGGACCCAAGTTCCAATGTTGGTTCAGTCACCTGCGCTGATGTGAGGCAAGTCACTTCCTTTATCTGAGCTTCAAGTTCCCTCCTCTGTCCAAATAAGGGTGTTGGATTAGATGGGCTCTGGGGTCTTTTCTAGCTCTACAGCTAGTAGATTATGATTCTAGATGATATGGAAGATGCAGCCTTTCAGAGAGAAAAAGAAGCTTAAATTTACTTTTTTAAAAAAAATCTCATTTTGATCGCTATCTTTGTTTTTTACATCATTTTCAATTCCACATATCTCATGCCCCCAAAGTCTTAGTGCAATCTTAAGCTTTTAAAGCTTAAAACTGCATTAAGACTCTTGGGATTGTATATCCCTCTTCCATCCCATAAACCTTGTTCTTTCCACCCCCTAACCCAACCACAGTTACTCTTGTAACTTTTTAAAAAGGATTTTTAAAAGGAGAAAAAAAGATGTAATGGAATGCTATTGTTCCATAAGAAATGATAAAAAGTGTACACAGTAACAGCCACATTGTTCGAACACTGACCTTGATAGACTTGGCTCTTCTCAGCAAAGCAAGGATCTAAGACAACTCCAAAAGCCTCGTGATGGAAAATGCTAACCACATCCAGAGAAAGAAATTTGGAGTCTGAATGCAGATTAAAGCATACTATTTTCACTTCTTTTGTTTTTTCTTTCTCATGATTTTTCCATTTTATTCTGAGTCTTCTTTCATAACACGGCTAATGTGGAGATATGTCTAATATGATTGTACACGTATAACCTATATCAGATTGCTTGCCATCTTGGAGGGGGGGTTGGGAGGGAAGGAGGAAACCACTGCAAACACCTCACTTCAGACCCTGAAGGAGATAGCCCAGGTACTTGAGCCCAAGAGCCCCTGACCCCTAGCCCTGCTTCTAGCCTGACACCTCTGTCTGACACCTGACATCGGTCATCATCCAGGGGAGCAATCCTTGTGGAGATGAGACCTGGAAACTGCCCTAGTCTGAGGCCGGCTTTGAATTCAGGTCTTCCTGATTCTAAGACCAGCTACTCTATCCACTGTGACACCTAGCTGCCTCTGTTATTAGTTATATTAATTATGTTAGAATTATAACACAATTGTGCAATGACTAACTTTATTAGACTTAGCCCTTCTCAGCATTGTAAGGATCTAAGACATCTCCAAAAGTCCCATGATAGAAAACGCTATCCACATCCAAAGAAAGAACTATGGAATTTGAATGCAGATTGAAGCATACTATTTGCTCTTTTTTTCCCTCTGTTTTGTTTCCTCTTTCTTGTGGGTTCCTCCTACTGGTTCTAATTCTTCTTTACAACATGACTAATATGAAAATCCATTTAATAGGAGTGTATATGTAGAGCCCATATCAGATTGCATGCCGTCTTGGAAGGGAGGCAGAGAGGAAGGGGGAGAAAATTTAAAACTCAAACGCCTATGGAAGTGATTGTTGAAAACTAAAATAAATTTTAAAAATTAGAAAAATTTAAAAAAATCTCCCTTCTTGAATGGGAAAAAAAATCTTTGTATCAATTTTCTCTGATTAGGGTTTGGCTATCAAGAAATATAAACAACTAATAAGTATATATAGAAGAGTAATAGCCATTTCCCAATAGATAAACAGTCAAAGGACATAAACAAACAGTTCTCAAAGGAATTTTCACAGCTACATAAAAAATGCTTCAAATTGCCAATAATAAGAGAAATGAAAATCAAAACAATGCTAAGGTTTTACCTCACACCCTGTAAATTGGCAAAAATGACCAAAAAAAGGGCAACAATGTCAGAGGGTTTCTGGAAAGATAGGCACACTTACACATTGTTGGTGGAGCTTTGAAATGGTACAACCATTTTGGAAAATGATTTGGAATCATGCAAAAAAGTGCCTAATATGTTCTTATGTTTGGAACCAGAGACTCCATTACTGTGCTTATGGAAGTCTTTGGAAGCCATTGACAAGAAAGAACCCACATACACCAACATATTTATAGTAGCACTTTCTGGGATAGCAAAGAATTGGAAAAAAAAAAAGAGATACCCATTGATTGAGAAAGACTCAACAATTTGTAGTGGAATATTCCTTTGCTAGAAGACACAATTGTGTGATGAATGCAGAGAAGCCTGGAAAAATCAACATAAACTGATGCAGAGTGAAGCGAGCAGAATAAAAAGGCACAATACACACAGTTACGAGAACAACATAAATGGAAGGAACAACCACGCATCAAAAAATCAAAAATAAATGTAACAAAATTATAGCGATCAAGAGAGGATATCCCCAACTCACCCATTTGTAGAGGTGAGAAGTCCAAAGATGCGATATATTTTTACACATGTTGGACTTTTTCAATACATCGATCAGTTGCAATGACTTTTTTCCTCTTTAAAAAGTACTTTCTGCTACATGAGATGACTGCTTGGGAGGAGGGGGATGGATACTGGTGATAATTGTGATGATGTAAAAAACCAAAAACACCAATATGAAGTTATTTGAAAAATCATCCTTGTGGCTCATACATAAAATATGGCAAGATCATTATATAACCAAGGTATCCCTTGTGTGACATTGTCTGAACATTTTTTAAAAAAACTCAATTTATGAAGTTATCTTCATCTCAGAAGTCTATACTTGTAGCTGTAAGATTTATTAAGGTAAAAACATTTTAAAAAGTATCAAACACAATTAGTTCAAATCTTTTATTTTATTTTTAAAATAGTTACTTAATAGGAGTAAAACTTTAAAAAATACATTGAATTCTATCTTAATGATAGAATCCTTTAATAGGAATGGCTTCAGAGAAAACTGGCAGGTCAGTGTTACTGCTTTCTATTTCCAACTGGTAAATAGCAATTTATGAGTTGTTCAAGAGTCCATTTGGAACATTCGATGTTACATAAAATATGCCAATTCACAGGAAACAAAGCAAACAAATGAAAAACAGGTTGGAAATAGCTCCTTGAAACTTCTCAATTTCATTATCTAAGATGAACACAAAAGTACTACTCATGCCTTTGAGGACGTTGGACCATGTGCCCTTGAAAAAAGCCTTGGAGCCTCCACGAACATGAGCAATTTTCCTCCCGAGGTCAACTGCACCGGTATGTATGATATCAGCTGAAAGGGAAGAGATGATACAAGACTTACTGTCTCATGGCTCTGTCTTTCTAAAACTGTTACCATTTTTAAAAAGTATACAATCTGCAAGCACAAAATCACACTAAACTCATGTGTGAGTATTAACTGAGATCATACTGGAACCATTGTACAAGAGGGAACAGCAAAATAGGAAACCGAAGACTGCCAATGTTTTTAGATAACGTATTAATTATTGATATGAAATGGATAAAATGCTATTGGACTTGATGCCAGCTCTCCGATAGTTTGCTAGAGAAAAAAAAAGTACCCCCCCAAAAGAAAACCAACAAAAAACCCTGCCAGCATCTCCTATACAGCCAAAAAACTTTTTTTTTTAAATCAAGAGAGAATGAGGAAATGGTGCTTTGATATCCTCTGATTGCATCATCATATGATAGACAGTTTCAAATGGATAGGTGGTCAAACCGGCAACAGCAGCGACACTCTGCACAACCATCCAGCTGATGATGAAGTATATATTTTTAGGGTCTGGAAGCATTCCAGAGAATGAGAAAGGCAACTTTTTTTTTTTCCAAAAAGTTCTATTGCTTTTTAGCCTAGTCACATCCAAGACTTTTCCTCATTTGGGGCAGCTAGGTGAGACAGTAAATAGAGAGAGCTTCAGGTCTGGAGTCAGGAAGACTTGAGTTCAAATATGGCCTCAGACACCCAACTGTGTGACCCTGGGCAAGTCTCTTAACCTCTGACTGCCTCAGTTTCCCCATATGTAAAGTGGGGATAATAAATAGCACCTACCTCATAGGGGTATTGTGAGGATCACATAAGATAATATTTGTTAAGTGTTTAGAGCAGTGCCTTGCACATAGCAAGCGCTATGTAAGTATTAGCTATTATTATTGTTAATTATTATGTTTAAAAATTAGAGTTGAGCTAGATGATGCCTTTAAAGTATTTAAATGGTTTTGTGTGTTTTTTCCCAGTGAGGTGAGGGAAAAGTAAATGCTTGATAACCAAAAACGGATATAATGATCTAACAAATGTACATAAGAGGAAAAAAAGAGAAGTATTTAGGGTTTTGAGGCTATGATTCCTAGAAGGATAGAGGCTGCACCTGTGATTTCACTGTGTCAGTAAATACTAGCTGTGTGACCCTGGGCAAGTCATTTAACCCTGTTTGCCTCAGTTTCCTCATCTGTAAAATGAGCTGGAGAAGGAAATGGCAAACTACTCCAATATCTTTGCTGAGAAAACCCCAAATGGGGTCACAAAGAGTCAGACATGACTGAAATAGCCTGGCAACTTATGTTTATTGATATCTATGTTCATCGTAATCTACAAGTAAATCAAACTCTTTCTGATCCTCAGTTTTCTAATCAGTAAAATAGGGATAGGAACTAGACCTTTGATTTCATTACCATAAGGAACACCCAGTGAGGAAACAACCTCTATTAATGCAAGTCTACAACTTATAATCTTAGAGAAATTTTTTTGGGGAGGGGTACTGAGAAGTCGAATGACTTACCCAGGGTCACACAGCCAGTATCTGTCAGAGACAGGACTTGAACCCAGCTCTTCCTGACTTCAAAGCCAGTTCTCTATCCACTGTGTCATTGTTGCCTCTCTAATCTGTAAAATGGGCATAATAACACTGGTGGCATCTGTGTTACAGGGTTCCCCTGAGGATCCAATGAGACGGGTAAAGTACTTTGTAAAACTTAGAGCTTTAACTAAGTTTCAGCTGATGAGCCAAATAAACAGAGCTGAAAATTTTAACCCAAGATGTGAATATGATCTCATTAATATCTCACTCATACTGAAGAAATGGTATCACTCATCATTAGAATATGGTATTGGAAGCACAATATGCCACAGGAAAAGATGCTGGGCAGGGGTGGTGGGAGGGGGGAAGTTCCCTGTAGGGCCTTTGGGTGGGGCTAAAAGGAGAGAGAAACAAAATATGATTGTTGTGGATATTATGCTACGGACCAGGATGGCAGAGGATATGGCTGGTGTTTTCCTAATGCATAGAACAGAAGTGACATAGAAGTAGATACAGTTGTGT